GATCTTTCCAGAAAATTTCTGCGGACTTCCAACTTGGTCTTTATATAGTAGACACATAGTAATACCCAAAAATACATTTGGTGGATTTTTTCCATGGCTCAAATTTGAGAAAAAAAGTGGTCCGAAAATGCGAAAATGCCACTTTTTCCGGGTTTCTTATGTAAAACTTGGTATTTCTCTATTCCAAGAGCACATACAGGTGAAGGTTTTAAAATTATGCTTGGAAAGGCTTGCAGTGAACAAGCCATGGTAAGCCAAAGCCAAGCCACACATGTGGGAGGGAATGGGGGCGGAGTTTGCCATTTTTGGACAATTTTTGTTTCTCACTCTCTATGCTCCGAAAAAATTCGGTGAAGGCATATTTGAGTAATACTATGTTCTACTGTATAATGACAAAATTGGAGTTCTGTAGGATTCTTTGTCGCAGGAATCCAATTTTTTAGGTGACAAAATTTTTTTTTTCGATTTTCGCTTCAAACTTTCCACGGAATGCGACTTAGGCGGACACTTGGTGGATATTTTAAAGCTTGATCTGCTCTATCGAATGATACCCTAAGTTTAGTGCAAAAACAATAACAGCTTGAATTACTTGATAAAAGAGTTTACTTTTTGGGACAACCTAATATTATACATTTTTTTTCCTCGTAGATTATCCTGCAAAAACCTACAATTTTGAGGATTTTCAAACACTCAATAGCAAATGCAAATCATAGCATAAACTATTATAAATTACGAGGAAGGAATGGGAATTCCAACTTGAGTTTCGCAAATCATCAAACGTTTATAGATTTTGATTTTCAGTAATGCTTGGCTAAATAAAGCAAAGCAAAAAGAAAATACCTATGGCTGTAGGTATGGTTCAAAATCTGAGAAAGCATGTAAGGACTTCAATGGAATCATTTGCGTTGAAGTGACATCAAAAAGATGTAGGAGTTCTATATATATTACATTAGATCTGTATAGATAGATTTATCAATCTGATTGCCACACAAAACAGGTTTGAGAACAAGGCAAACTCTTACTGATTTATTGCTTTGATTATGACGAACTGCATCGAACCTTACAGAATTGCTGGTTGAAGTTTAAAACCCATTTAACGGCAACGCAGTAAACTCTGACTTCTTTCCAAAAAATTTGCATTTGTACCTCAAAATGTCTTAGAACCGTTACCTCTTGCAAAGAGTGTTTACCCAATTCTGGACCATGTGCATTCACATGGTTATCAAGACTTATTCGCAAAGATTCTCGAGACTGCATTCGTATTTCAGAATTTGTACTGTGATTACCACTTACTTCGATCTCATTTGCTGATCTGTGATTCGGAACTCTTACGATTCAAAGTCATCGGAATATTTCTTCATTTTTTATTTTTTTGTCAGAATCATGCCTCTTTTTTGTGATATAAAGCGATGTATGAATATGTAGGCTAGCCAATTTTTTCGAAAAATACGCCTCTATTTATATGCTGAATTATGTAGTCATATTCAGCTTTGTAAGCAAATTTCATCGCGGTCAGAAAGTTTTGAAAGATAGCGGTATACTTTTTGTGAACGGATTGAAACCTACTTGTGCTGATGTTGACTATGAGATAAGCAAATATGCAACATTTTGTTTTACATCTTCTATTTTGATTTCAGCAAAAATGTTGATTCCATATGCTTTTTTATTATCTATACAAAGTTCGCATAAGTCATACTTCATGTGATAAATCTTTTTATATGTTTGACACTCTGATCAAGCAGCTCTACTCAATAGTTTAAGCTTTGCATTCAAAATACATACGGATCATTTGTTTACCGCAGTACTTACAAATGTGTACACAGTTTTCTTCGAGCTCAATCTGTTCTAACCCCGTCGCAAAGTGTTTTGCTAACGTCATAATCCTTAAAAAAAACTTATTTGAACCCTATGATGTCATGAGTTTGAACAGTTTTATAAGTGCTTCGTATGACTTTCTCGTGAGAAATTATTTATGATGTCAGATTAGTCATTGCAGGACCTCAAAGCTTGTTTTTTATTAGTTTCATTGTCCGAACCTAGACTGACGGATGATTTCTAGTCGAATTCATATTCACATTCCTCTCCCATTGTTTCTCTCCGTTTCTCTAACCTGTTGGCTGTTAACTTGTTGTTTTAGGGCGCCTTCGGGTAAATAAACAAATAAATAAGATAAATAAACTGATACAAATTTTGTGTGATTCAATAAAAACTAAACCTAGCATGTGAGTTATTGGAGAGTAATCTACGTATATCTAGCGAATAAGCGCTCAAGTTTTCTAAAAATGGGAATCTTTTAATTCAGAATTTGTGCAATAATCAATTTTCTTTTGAAGCTGTGGGTGAGATAAATATAGAGCGAGAGGCTCTAACAGAAATTTGATTTGCAGATCTAGTAAAAAAACTGGTTGAAAAAAAACTGCGTGATTCTGATTCTTGAAATTGTTTAAAACTTCTGAAGATTCCCGTTTCAAGCAACATTCTAGAACAACTGGCGCCATTGTGATTCGATCTGTTGTCTAAGCGTAACCAGCGTTTTCCAAGATGTGTGCACGGCAAAGTACACCTTACATTAAAAATTTAAAAAAAAGAATGAAGAAATAACAGGAGAAACCCACTAGAAAAAGCAAAACTGTGGATAAGTGGGCACCCTTCTGTCTTAATCATAACCGAAATCTATTATCTCTGAAGCAAGACACAGTTCACTCAACTTTCGTTATCGCCTATCTGGAATGTGGCAAAAAGAGCGAAATCTATCACTTAGAAGCTTTGATCTCTCCTAAATGGTTTTTCAATTATGCCGCGAAATTACCACAAGATTTTCTTAAACTTTTTGTCCGGAAAAAAAGCTGCACTTATCGCGTTTCGTTCCTGGAATGAGAACAAGCTGAAAACAGAAATCGAATTCGTTGCGATCTCAGTGGCTGAATCACTTCGACATTCCTTGCATTTCTTTAGGAATTTATCAGCGCTGAATGTCATTTGGGTGCGAGATGTTTTGTTGATTGGAGAGAACGATCAAAATCTCTCCCTTCAAGCACATTAGATTTATACATTACACGTTACATTACATATCTTGCATTCAAATTTTGAGATTCCAAAATTCGTGAATAGTAATTGATAAGGCCCTCATTGCGTAATCCACAATTCTGCTTTTGGGTAAAATCTAGAGCAGTCTTTCATTTTGCGTTTTTATTAGATAGCTAAGAACTGTCAATCACACTTGTAGACTTTTCGTAAGTGTTCTACCCGTTCACAAAAGGAGGTCTTTTTATGAGATCCGATGGGAAAAGGAGTGAATTTTCAGCTTGCTCGCCTTAACGCTTGCATATTTATATAACTCTTTGACCTCAAATGGAAAATATGGCCACTCCTCTTGGTCTACAAGAGATGGTGTTTGCAAAAAATCAGTGCATCCTGGTTCAGTTTTCTAAGCAGAATTTGGCAGCATTGCGGAGTGCTTATAAGGCTCGCGTGGCCACTATCTGGTGGCTTATTCCATTCAAATATTTTCTCGTGCAAATATCTCTATCTCAAGCAATCAGCCATATGACCACTCCTACCGCCCCCTTTTTTATACTAGGCGGGAAATTGTAGCAGCGGGTTTTCTCCTCATCGCGATAATTGTCTGTTTGCAAAGTAGTCTCTAATTCTCGATCCGTGCTTGGTACCCATTTGCCCTCTCTGTTCATTTGCTAATCTTTGTTCCTTTCGGACGACTAAAAGTCATGGTCTAAAACACGATCTTATAGATTCTTCAGAAGCGATCATAGTGGGCTTTCGTCGGTTCTTTATCTTTCTCTCCCATTCCCCTTTTCCACAGCACTTTCCCAAAGTCATCTTTATTGAGATAGCGTGTGTATTCGAAGAATTCTATTAACGTTTTTCTTCCTCATGGATTATCATGCAAAAACCTAGAATTGCAAGGATTGTTCAACACTCGATAGCAAATGCAAATCATAGCATTGAAATGAGGAAGGAAATGACCTACGACTTTAATTTCGCTATCATCAAACGTTCATAGATTACGATTTTTCAATATTGCTTGGCTAAATTTTAGCAAAACTGCAAGTATACCTAAGGCTGTAAATATGGTGCAAAATCTGAGAAGCAGGTTATGACTTTAGGGAAACCATGTGTGTTAAAGTGAAATCAAAAAGATGTAGAAGTTCTGCATAGATTAGATTAGATTTGTAAAGGTAGGTTTATCAATCTGATTGCCACCTAAAACAGGTTTGAGAACAAGGCAAACTTTACTGATTCATTGCTTTAGTCATGACGAAGTGCATCAAACGTTAGAGAAGTGCTGGTTGCCGTTTTAAACACATTTAACGGCAATGCAGTAAACTCTGTCTTCTTTCTAAAAAATTTGCATTTGTATTTCAAAATATCTTAGAACCGTTACCTCTTGCAAAGAGTGTCTACACAAGTCTGGACCATGGGTATTCACATGATTAACAAGACTTATTCGCAGAAATTCTCGAGACTGCATACATATGGTCGAGTCATTTGTATATAACTTAATATGCGAGTCCATCTCATACACGTTAACTGACGAACTGCGGAACTAAAACCTGTTCATTTTCAGTGATTTCTCCTTGATTACTTGTTTCTTTTGTATTAGTTGGCATATGTTAGTCAATAGAACACGTTTCTATTTTTGTTAGGCTAGAAAACAGGGAAGTTACTTGTTTGGGTGCCGTCGCTAATAGGGCTTAGTGTGCAGTCTCACATATTAATTTGCAAATGATTTGACTACTTTTACTAAGTTAGATTTTCATGCTCGATTTTCTGAGCAATCTTTGCCTGGAATAAAGCAATTAGATTTGAATGGAGGGTTATTAATTTGATTCCAAGGATTTTTCTCTTTCAAATATTTTCAGCATTTCGCATCTCAGACTTTGTACTATAAGTACCAGTTATATTGATCTTATATGCGGCTTTATCAATTTTAGCTTCATATGAGTCATGCTTGAAAATGCTTTTAGTAAATGCATCAACATCAGTCACACCAATTTTCTGTGGAGCTCGATCTTTTGCTTAGAAAATGTACAGGAAGGTCGTTTGTTTACTCATAATCGTGTACACATGTAGTTTTTGGTGACAAAAATTCTTTAGCTTGCTATCTCGAACTGTTTACTTAAGTATTTAGCTCTGTAGGAGTGTTAGAGAGCTTCTTGAGCTTAACGACGTGATGGATGTGTCATTCATTCTATGACTAGGAGAGCGAGACTTTATTGCACATATTGTCTAAACAAGCTTGATCGTGTGCTTAGCCGGTTCATACTCGTTAATTATCTCGCCCAGGTTTATTTACTCTTTGGAAACAGGGAAAAACAAACTCAAACTTGTCAAGACAATGTCCGCAATGCGGTCTCGCGTCGCCTAATCGTAGCATAGATGATAATCATTTTCGAGACTTTTACTGCGTTTATCCAAATTGTGTCATTAGGCAACTTTGTAATAAATAATCATAGTTTTCCTTGATTCAGCGAAAATAAGTATGTCACACATGTAAAAAATATGAATTTACTAATCGCAAAACTGATCAGCTTCCTTCTAAGTACTTGATGTGTTTGTATGCGGCGGAAGTGGAAACAGAGTGCGAGATTTTTTCTTACAAAGGTAAAACTGGTAAAACTCAAAAATTCAGTTGGTAGCTAAGAAAAATTAAAAGCAGTGCTTGCCCAGCTTGACTTTAGTACAATAACATTTTTGATTTTTCGCAAATCTGTGAAGTTGTCAGAAATCCATAAAGATCCCGTTTCATGTAACATTCATCTGCAGGGTACTGAGTTACCGAAGATCGTGCAAGGTTTCGTTCGTGCTGCTTTGTATAAGAAAAAAAAGGCAGAGAAACAAAATGCACGTGCCTGGGTAGACCATTAAAAAAATGTCGTGCTCTTTTCTGTCAGTTGAGATTGATCATGTTTCTCACTCACATAATTCACTCATCTTATCAAGAAGATATTTTACAGTTGCTGTTTAAAAATCAAAAGTTCTTCCCAACAAAGGAATGGATGTTATAAGAAAATTGCTTTTTTCTTTCTTTTTCTTCGCCTTCTTGACACGATATCTCTATACTGCTTAAACCTTGCGTGAAAAAGCCAAACAATTTCCAAACTTTTTTGAAAGATGCCATCTACACGAAGGTAAACTTTCTCTCGTTTTCTAAGCGTTAAGCCTTGGAAACGCTACGTACCTCATAAAGTGTTCCTCATGAGGTCTCATTGACTGCTGACTTCTTTTATGCAATATTTTTTCATTCTAATTTTTCTATTTAGTATTTAGAAAGTGCACAAATTACTCATATCATTGGCAAAGCATCTAAGAAGAAGTTAAATCTTCTTTCCTATCGCGAATTTGTCTGTTTGCTAAAGATTTTTCGTTAATCCGCGCCCTGCTCGATATGTCCTTCGCTTCATCCAATCTGATCACCTGTTCTCTTCTAAAGATGTGGTCAAAAGTTTTGTTTCAAATCACGACAACGTTTCCTACTGAGAAAGTATTTAAAGTCATCTCGATTCTTCAGAAAAATAATATCCTTCTTATTTTCGTCCGCTCCCTTCCTCAATGCAACGGTTTACCATCTTCGTACCTCCTAACCAACTTGAATTGAACACCCAAGAGATGTTTGAAGTTGTATGCTTCGAATGGGAACGAAACATTGACTTTATGGAGAAATCTTGTTCTACTCGCTTAACCCAAATAAACATCAAGTATAAATTCTTTGGTTAGAAGCTCACACCACGTCTTCTTCCTCTTTGAGTTCTCCAAGCCAACGTTTATACTTTTTGTAAAGAGTTAATCGCTACTGATTTTTCTAGGCAAGCATTGTCAGTGATGTTGGTCACGTTCAGATTTAGCCTACTCACAAAACGTATACTTCACGCCAGATCCTACATTTAGACAAAATCTTACCTGGTAGATTCATTCTAAACCTCTTTGTTTTTTTACAAAATCTTCCTATCTAATGATGTTGGGTCTTGGTAGTGGTAAAGTAACAACTCCAGCAACTATAAATTCTAGCTTTGAGGCTGCGACCATCTTCCTTGAAAGTCTTTACGACTTTATGATGAAGATGATAAGTTATAGAGGCCATAATACAGTGCTGGACATAATTATAGGGACACTCTAGAAATCGTCGTAATTTTCGTTCTTGTCAGTGAATCTTTCGGAAACTTTGCTGTATGGTGCGCATGTAAGCCTACCATAAATCCTCAGAACGGCTTTCAATCTCGTTGATTTCGAACGGAGAAAAATGGAAAAAATCGAAAAAGCCTGTTTTGCAAGCTGGACATAATTATAAGGACACCTGGCCTTTTGAACATTATGGCATTCCTTGACTCCCAAATTTTTTGTAGAGTTACATCCCAGAATTTGAAACTTTTGCAGCACCTAGGACCTGTCATGCTACTCAAGGAAAGATGATCCTTGCATTTTTCGTTTCCAAAGGCATCAGAAGTCAAACTGCGTCAAGAAACAGCTGGTTTGAGGAGTTTTTAAGCCCGCGTTCATTTTAAATGACAGTTCTGGAATACACTTAGCCTTTTTGATAGATAAGGTGAAGAGCGCTTTCGTAAACTCCGCGTAATCGCTGATATTGACAATCAGACTCCACCCTCACCATAGGGTTGTCGCGCTTTTACACCACAAAACTCACTTTCCAATGTTCGTGAAGTGATGGACTCGATTTATTACATTGTCTACATGGAGATGCATCTTTTGCAACAACTTTTAGATTTTTTCTAGTGCTGTAGTTGCCATTTAGATCTGATATACTTTCAACGAAAATTCTATGCGAGCAGTAGATTTAACATAATCACAAATCTCACTACTTTATTCTCTATTTCATGTCGCATTTTGCGCGGTAGCTGAGATTAGCAAGATTTTGAAGTTTCAAGCGGCCTCCTGTTCGATTTCTTGATTTGAGTTGGATATGATTGTGCAGGGTGCTCGACTCAACTCTCAACGGATGACAACTGCGGCTGAACCGGTATGTGCAACCCCGAATTTTTTTCCTGACTAGGCACACAAGTTTATTGTTGTACGTGTATTGTTGCGGCTACATTGCAACGTTTTCTGTAACTTGAAAATCGAGTTTTGTGGTGCAAAAGCGCGACAACCCTATGGTGAGGTTGGAGTCTGATTGTCAATATCAGCGATTACGCGGAGTTTACGAAAGCGCTTTTCACCTTATCTATCAAAAAGGCTAAGTGTGTTCCAGGACTGTCATTTGAAACGAACGCGTGCTTGAAGACTCCTCAAACCAGCTGTTTGTTGACGCAGTTTGACTTCTGATGCCTTTGGAAACGAAAAATGCAAGGATCATCTTTCCTTGAGTAGCATGACAGGTCTTAGGTGCTGCAAAAGTTTCATATTCTGAAATGTAACTCTACAAAAAATTTGGGAGTCAAGGAATGCCATAATGTTTAAAAAGGCCAGGTGTCCTTATAATTATGTCCAGCTTGCAAAACAGGCTTTTTCAATTTTTTCCATTTTTCTCCGTTCGAAATAAACGGGATTGGAAGCCGTTCTGAGGATTTATGGTAGGCTTACATGCGCACCATACAGCAAAGTTTCCGACAGATTCACTGACAAGAACGAAAATTACGACGATTTCTAGAGTGTGCCTATAATTATGTCCAGCACTGTATATAAGGTTGCCCGGAAATTAATGTCCGTTTTGAATTTCAACCGCAACAAGTCATACACTTTTCATTCCTGAATAGCTTTCAAGGTACCATTTGATAGAACAAAGCAAGCTTTACAAGATGGCTTTCTTGCTTTAGCAAGAGCTCTGATCCACCTTGAGTTTCGAGCCAAAAACTAAAAAGATTCAACTACCGGAAAATCGTGAAAAATCACAACTCAGTTCATAAGAATTCTACAAAAATTCTAACTTGCTCACGTAAACACTATCCACATAAGACATATAGGTACGCCGTTGCCGTATTTTTTCCTCTGTTAAAAATCGGAAAAACGAAAATGTTCATGGTTTTGCCAAAATGATGCTGTGTCGTCTCCCCACATAAGTGGATGTGTACTACAAATCTGTAGAAGTACAAACGTAAATTTTCAACTCTCTATAAGCTTTAGTTCTCGAGAAAAATCGGATAAAGCCTTCATTAATCAGGTGGTCCAAACTAAAATTCAAATTTTTCGAGAACTAAAGCTTGTAAAAAGCTGAAAATCCACGTTTGTACTTCTACAGATTTGTAGTAAACATCTGCTTATGTGGGAACGATACAGCATCACTTTTGCAAAAGCATGAACATTTTCGTTTTTTCGACTTCTAATAGAGGAAAAAATATGGCAAAGGCGTACATGTATGTCCTATGTGGATAGTGTTTACGTAAGCAAGTTAGAATTTTTTAGAATTTTTACGAACTGAATTACCATTTTTCTTGATTTTTCGGGTAGTTGAATCTTTTTGGTTTTTGGCTCGAAACTTGAGGTGGATCAGAGCTCTTGCTAAAGCAAGAAAGCCATCTTGTAGAGCTTGCTTTGTTCTATCAAATGGTACCTTGGAAGCTATTCAGGAATGAAAAGTGTATGACTTGTTGCGGTTGAAATTCAAAACGGATATTAATTTCCGGACAACCTAATAGATGGGGCATCGCTTCCTCTGCCCTTGACAGTAAGAAAATCAGATATTATACTCAGACATTCACTGGGACTTCCGCAGGACAAGCAAAATTTACAGCGGTTTCGCAGATTTGTTTACTATCGCAAAAGTGGAAAGTTTGAAAATGGAAACTTCCGCAAAACTTTTTACAAAGCGCTGCGGAACTTCCGAAAAATGCCAGCGGTTCCGCAGCACTTTGACATGCCAGTACTTTCGCGGGATTTTAAATGTGTTGTCTCGTATGATGTTGCCTTGTTAACAACTAATGTGCATTATCGAACGTTAGCCGTAGCACAGTCACTAGATGTTTGAGTAAAGTAAGGCTCAAATCTCGCATAGGTGTTCTCTTTTGCTGCTGTGGTTTCTTCGGAATTTTCGCAGCACCTAATCTGGGAACTTTGCAGCACACTTATGGAACTTCCGCAGGAGACCCGGCGGAACTTCCCCAAACGTTCTGCGAAAGTTCCGGTCACTTGTCTGAATATGCAAGCTATCTCCTTCGATAAGCACCCATCCATTCGCCATGTTTAGAAGTACGATGTTTTAATTTTTGAAAACACAGTCACTAAAAAATTGATCTTTTCGAAAAACTTGGTTATTACGCTGTGTCTTATGTTTCTTTTTTGATCAAGTTATTGGTGCAATGTTTTTTCCTATCAGATTAGTCTAATCACAAAATTTTTAGTTTTGTGAAATGTGAGCCTCAAACATGCAATGAAATTCCAAAGTTTCCAGTAGATTAACAAATTGAATTTTGCAGAAAAGAAAGAGTTCACGAGGTTTTTTTTCAAAGTAAAAGTGTATCGACACAGATTTTTTTGTAAAACTGAATTCGTTTCGAAAGGCTGGGTGTGTGTCGCAATGATGTTGAGCTGCTCATAACATAGTGTTACAAATCAAATTGATAAATCTAGTTGTAATCAAATTTGTAATCAAGCAAATTCAATCTCCCGCTTGGTATTATTTTTGATTGGATTCCGGTTTCAAGCAATTCTTAAGAGCAGCAATAGACTTTACCGCAGATTGAGCTCCGCAGCTATGAAATCAACTGGATGCACACCCGACGTTTTAATGGGAAGGAATCGGAATCCACCATATTTTTCACATTCGACCAAATTCTACCCACTTTTGTTAACGTTTTTGTGGCAGATCGATGCATCCAGGGTTGTCCGTGCCAGCGCTATGTTGAGCTCATATGGTTGCGCTGTGTCTTGTAGGTACACTTCCGACAATGCGCTAGCACGGCATTGACTCGGCGTTGACACGGGGCTGGCACGGCGTCGCCTCGAATGCAACTTTAGGCGCGGCTCTAATGATTGCTTTACATCCTTTGCTTAATAGTTTAAAAATCTTTTCGACTAACTGGTATGCATAAAATTCTTACTTAACAACATTGGGGTACGAACAACACGCCGAATTACGCTGTTAACTGTTCATCCCCCCCCCCCCTCCACGACTCCTGCGCTGAATCACTTTGTCGTTATTCACATTTCTTTCGGGTTTTATCAGCAGAGAATGTCATTTCGGCGCAAGATCGTCTCATACGCAGTTCATTTCGATGGGAGAGAAAGATCTCCTTATCCGCCAGCTTTTGCCTTCAGATGCATTTTGGTTTTTAAAAAATTTCCACATGCGCCTGCATGTTTAGCTCAGGAACAGAGCAAATTTAATTTAGGTAAAACTATGACCCAAAACTGCCATAGAATCCTCCATCCATCTTATAGACCCTAGAACATCAGTTGTACAAACTTATTACAGGACATTTTCATATTCATCCTAACATTAAGAAAAAGAAATGTGATCAGAAGCAGAGTCCTGGAATCATGGTGCGTAAATGCACTTGCAAAACTCTTCAATGGTGAACTTCCACAGTTAACAACACACCGTTCCATCATTATCATCAGACTCATCAATCAACTCTTCTTTGTTTCAGAAGCAAGAGCAATCAATACCTCGCACCTTCATCAGAATTTCTATAAAAGTTCAAAATTTCTTATCTTGAAGGAAGATAAGGTTTTATTTTATTTTTTGAATGGTACGAAAGAAAGCAGTTAAAATGCTAACGACTTCAAGAAATCTATTTCCTCTCCTTATCCCCTCTCTGCCAACTACAAACAAAGAAGACTTTCTCTCGTCCTCATTTGATTACGGAAAATTCTGAAAAAATTTCGGTTTTGAAAAATTCTGTAAAGAACTGGCTGCCTTTTTCTAAGTTTCAGTTTCAATAACTGCAAAATTTGCAAGTCTCTTCGGTTTTAATCGTTTAAAAGATGTACCAAGCAATTTTAAAATTTGAATTTAGTGAATTACTGGTTTGCTACTGTAAGCAGGTATTTATAGTAATCAGATTTCGAAATCGGAAGATCCTTACTGTATGTGAACTTTTTTAGCTCTCTCAGCACCTGCATGTATCCAAGCTCACACGTACCTCAAGCACAAATATGAAGACTCTGAAATTTCTATGACATGCTATTTGCAAAAAAGTGTATTTTGCTTCGGTTATCTAGGCGTTCACTAGCGGAAGTGATGAGTTAATAGTCATTTGCTAATAAGACCCAATCCTCTTTGTGTTGGCCTCTCTTCTTCAAATCTTTTCTGTTCTACATAATGTCTAAAAAAGGGTAGAAAGTGCTTACATAGGTACCGTAGTAAGCATTACTACGGTACCTAGGTTGTGATACCGTCCATTTGCTTTCTTTCAATCATCTCCTTCCCTTTCATTGAACTGAAATCACTTATTGTGACTGTTGATAACCCTATGCATTTTTAGTGTTTTTTTCAGAGGTTTGATTTTATCCACCATAGTTATTATTGACTTAATCAACTTTCTAGTGAGAGGTCTTTCGAACTGGTAATCTCACTTCAGTGAAAATTTCTGAACATCAAACGTGAGCTTCGTTCCACGTGTGTAAAAGAATAGGATGACCACCAAAACAACGAATCAATAAAACAGTAAAGGTAAGTAATGGAATTCTCTCCTCCCACCCTTCTCACGCCTCCAAAAATCCATTCTCTCATAAAAATTATTCCTAGGCATTGCCTTTAGTTGTGATTTATTCGGTGAATCTCATCTCCATCTTTAACTGTTAAAAGATTTTGCGAATACAAATTCAAGCTGGTGTGATAGAACACATGGAAAAAAAGCATGACTCATTATTCATGCTTAGCAAATGTCACTAAACGATGAAAAAAATTACACGACATTTTCCCTATATTATGCAGCGCATTGCTCGAATTATTCTGCTATGTTGTTGGGTTAACTGAAATTGAAAAAAAGTTTATACTCAAAACCTTTTATGATTGCATGGAACACTTTCTTGAAACACTGCTTTTCGCTTTTGACTTATGATTTATGTTGCCTTGATGCATAAGTATGTACTTGAAGAAATCCCATAGAAGGACTTATCATTGAGAAGAGTGAGTGGGAATTTTGAGATTTTAAGAATATCTCTTCCCATCGGTTGCTCATGAATCCATATCATCGCTTGCTTACTCTGCTCACGACAAAATTTGGTCCCGCCTGCTTAGAGTAAAGAAAGACACTGTCACTGGAATCCTTTACGGATACTGTGTTCGCATTTTAAAAAAATGTTCCCTTTTCTTTCTTCAAACATATTGACTTTGTTTTGTTCGCATTTATAACGGAAGAATATTCGTGGAATAAAAAAATCCGTGGAAATTTTCTTTCAAAATATTCATCCATTTGAGTAGATTTGTGTTCTAAGACTCAATACTGATTATCGTTTGCCTAAATCTTGTAAATTAAGAATTTTGTAAGTATCGCAGCATTCTTTGTGAGATGACGTGAATGCAAAATAATTTAAATCGCCTTGATTAGACTTTCATGTTCTTAGACCGATTTATCTTAATTAGGGTCATTTGACTGTGATATGTTTCGCATTTATGTTGGACTCTGGGAGTTTGAATTTAAGTCAGTCAAAGTATGGTGAAATTAGAATGTATCTTCCGAAGTAGGATTTCCTACTTTGGAGGATAAATTTTAGTGCAAGCTTATCACATCTTTTTTGTTCTGTGAATCTCAGTATATCAACTTTTTTCACAGTTCGCTGAGTCATACTACTCAACAATCTTTTTATAGTTGTGGTGGACATGCCGTTTTACATAGTCTTCGCATAATCTGACAGCTTGATATTTTCTATGTAAACGTGTAGTACGTCATCTGTCTCTCTAGCTGTACAGAAATGTGTACAAAGCTTTTTAAGTTACGTACCACTTCTTTATTCATCTCATACTGTTGGCTTATGCTTTTAGCGTCTTATTGTTAGAAGTATAAAGGAGCCCATTCTGACGTAAAGAGCGTAGCAGGTTTCAAGAATGTACCATAACTGTTGGCTTTATTTGCCTTAGCAGCCCAAAATTTTTCGAATTACGAAAAAAAATTTTGTTCGCTTCAGTAAAAATAAGCCATAACACATGCGTTGAGAACTGACTAGTCTAGAATCATTTCAACTATTTTGAAGAACTTTATATTTTACGTAAGAGAAAAGCTCGAAAGAATTCTTGGAACGAAAGCGCCAGGCCACAATGTTTACGAAAACCATCGATGCAACTTTGTGTTAGAATGGAGGGGGGGGGAGCGGACATGGCTTGAGAGATTTTTTATCCGAAAATTTACAAATTTGTATGTCTGGTCGTTATTCAAAAGAAAGACTAAACACTTGCACAGCTTTGTTTTCTAAACTTCTATAATTTTTGAAGACTCCCATCTCAAGCAATAGACAAATACAATGCGCGTTTGTTGCACTCTTGAAGTCACCATACCCCAAGGTATTCTGCTGCTTCAGCGTTGACCCTACCTTCTACGGAAATAGAAAATCATCCGAATAAATCACGGTGAGTGCACAGCTTTCTATTTCATACAAAAAGGATCGAATCTATCGTATCTCTCACACCTGACCCAGTTCAGTCAGCATTCGCTGATACATATTCCTTGTGATTTATTTTCTTGCTGTCAAAATTTATAAAAATCCTCCTCTGGTACTCGCAAAACTGCGACTTATCAACAACATATCACTACATTTACGACTGTCTCTAACAATTAAGTCACTAACAGTCTAACAACAAGCCTAATAACTAAGTCAAATATTGCATGAAATCTTAAATCGTGTACATATTGTCACTGATTCAGGCTGAATACATCTCAACATTCTTCGCATCTCTATGTAGTAGGTTTCATGAGCAGAAAATGCTGGTTCTTTCACACGCTTCTTAACCAAAGAGAATTTCTTTAGCCTTTTCCAATGCTCTACATTTCGGCGTTTGCAGATCACCAGAGCAGGACAGGTGTTTAACAGCACGCAGTACGACCTAGAGTTGAAAGATGCAAAAGCCATGAAACCCCATCCAAAGACACGTCATGGATACACCCATTTTGCAAAAGGACGTTGTTTTTTTCGCTTCTTTTTGCTAGAGACTACAAGGGAGGAGGGTTCTAGAACCATAGTACGCGATTTAGTAATTTACTCTGCTTTTGCACCCTCTGTTTCACAATGTTTTCAATGGTGCTCTCCAGCATAACACCGAGTCCATCCATCATTATAAGCATCAGACTTGTTGATAGCTCTCGTCTTAAGGCAGGAGTGCACCGTATAAGATTTTTAACTTTGACGGATTTTTTCCAAAAATTGAATTTTTATGCTAAAACAAAGAAAAATGAGCCCTTTAACTGCTTAAGAATGGGTTCTTCAATTACTTTCTGAATTTCGCTTCGCATTTCACCCTTTCCTTTTCTCTCAATCCCCTTTTATTGCATACAACAACTGTTCTGCTATCATCGATTAATTAGCAGATCTTGGTAGGCCTTTATCCTGCCAAATAGATCTTTATGCAGGGTTTAGCAGATCTAACGACAAAACTCTGTTTCCATCAGTTATGGCTATTCTAGTACAGTATCTTCTTGATATATCTGCGTCACAGATTCAAAGACTAAATGACCGAGCTGCTACGGAAGACTGCAGGCTTTGACACTTTTTAATTTCAACTCCATTTGTACGACCTTTAAGTTTGCTTGTCCTAACACTACATCTTTCTACAATCCTCTCTAAGGATTAGAAAGGAGAAACTGAAATTTGTAGCAGACCTTGTCGAATGCAAAAAAGTGCATTCCGTTCCGCCTCTGTTATCTAAGCATTCAACAGCGGAAGGCCACCGCCCCTTTTTGGAACTTAAGGGTTATAGGCCCACAATCATTTTGAAAAGCATACCAAGGGCTTTCCCAAGTCTGCGGGCAAAGCCGCCCAACTTCGTTTGAAAATTTTTTTTGTTGCTTCTTCCCCTCCTCTCCCCTCCCCTGCCCTTCCGCGGAACGGAGATCCCGGCGCCACTGCCTTTGTTTTTCGGTGACACTAGTGGCATAAAATCTAGCCTCAAGGTTTACTTTACAAATTGAGAGGACCTTCATAGTTTTTTCTGCTAAGTTTGTCAACGTTACGATTGACGTTCCAATAATGTCGTCGAACGGTGACAAGACACACGCGAGAGTTTTTGACTTTGCTTATGCAACACATTGCTGAAATGCAGTATGCTGGTTTTAGTGGAATTGCAACGAAAGTTCTTCCTAGAGCTATATTTAAGGTTTATTAATGTTGTCCATGATCCATAATCCTTTTGTGCAATGAAAAGGTTATGTTTTCTTGTTAGAATCCTCTCTGCTGCTTTTCCCATCTCTTCTGTTCCATCCTCTCTGATCACAGCAAAGGTTATGAAAAGTTATGTTTTCTTGTTAGAATCCTCTCTGCTGCTTTTCCCATCTCTTCTGTTCCATCCTCTCTGATCACAGCAAGAATATTTGGTATCGAATGGTTAAGAAAGGGACACACCTTTCAGTACAGAAATTTCGTTGTTCACACTTTCTTCAAACAGGTTCTATCGATAAATGAGACAATCAGTTTTTTTGCTCTGAACGTCTGAATGAAGATATCTTCTTACTTCAAACTGCTTATTGAAGATATCGGTTTGTTCCTTTTCTGCTTGATTGAAAGAATCTCCGTGAACTGGAAGGTCATTGCCTAGGTAATCCTTTGCCATGTCCTGAAAGACAGGGCTTGGAGGGAATAAGAACAGCACGATAAGCGATTACAATTGCTGCGCTTTCCGTGACGCTGATGCTCTCTTCGGCATTTTCGCATGTCTGTGGGGTTTTATCGAGACGGAATGTCATTCTGGTAAGGGAATGTGTCTTCAACAAGTGCGTTGATCGAAGAAAGACGACGGCTTTCTGTGGTGTTTTGCAAGCTGCAATTTTAATTCAAGTTTCTTTCTTTTGTGAAAATTCTCTGATGATGTTTATAGTAATTCAATCTGAAAATTGATGAGACTCGGAAATGACTGTAACAGTGACAGGAAGGTTGCTGGGCTTTTTGTATAATTAGACTCCTGCTGATAACTGGAACCGCTTGGTCTTGTTTGTACGCTGCGTTTAGAGTTACCCGTGCTAACCTCGTGCCAGAGCCGTGCCAGAGGAGTGCTTTTTGATCAATTCCATCTTTCCACCCACCACGGATAAGAAATTTTCTAGCTTCATTATTTAATTATTGTGCCACGATGGCAAAATATTGGCTCCGTATTGCTAATCTGGTAGCTGTAACTACTAAATGTAAAATTCTGATAATTCTAATTATCCTATAAGATGTTTCAAGTTCATCTACCAAATTGAAGGGCTGATCAAGCGACCCCCTACAATAATATCGTAATCGACTTTGAAGAGCTTTAAAGATTGGAAGTAGTTTTGAGAAAAATCGACGAGTAAACTTACTAACAATTTTTTTGGCTTAGACCCCTTAGCACTTGCATGTTTCTATATTTTTGACAAGGGAAGAATATTTGGCATTAGTGAGGAGTATAATAGTAGATGTTGAAACCCTGACTTCAAATCTGTTCTTTATATGCTGTACGACTTTCTGAACGATGCTACGGACTCTTTTTCCATATCAATTTCAAGAAATCTGGGCAGTCAGAATCGCCACTATCTGGGCTTTTTAGACATGGACATATCGGAGACAGTTTTCCCGAACTTAACGTGGATTTACTTTATCGGACGCTGTTTTGTAGTGTGTAAGTGACGATTCCAACAATATGATATCAAAAGAGTGCAAATCTTTGTGGCAAAAGTGTTCATAACTTCTTTCGGAAAAGCGCACAGCAGATACTGAAGGCATATTTGAAATCAGTGCTTCAAGGCGCATTTTGGTGTTTGTTTCAATTTAAAAGGCCACGTTCAGAAAGTATCCTTTCCTTGTGAGACCTGGAACGGAAAATTTGGAAAACACTTGAACTTCTAGGACATATCAGCGACAAAAAAGTGCATTGCGCTTTTGTTATCTAAGCATTCAGCAGCGGAAGCATTGCGCAAGTGCTGATAAGGCTCGCGTATTCTCGTGAGTGCTGGCTTCTTGTGTTCAAACCTTTTCACGGTCTAATGCCTCTATCTTCGTGTAAAAAGAGTCAAAAAGTGCTTACGAAACCCTCATTATAAGCTGAGCATCCAAAAGGAAATTGAGTTTGAGTAGCGCGCATCTTCCTTTTCATTGCGAATTTGTCTGTTTGCGAAAGAGTCTCCTTAATCCGCCTCGTGCTCGATACTGTCCATTCACTCTCTTTGTCCGATTCCCTAATCACTGCTTCGTGGCCAAAATGAAGTCTCTTGTAGTGGTAAAACATTTCTAAAAAGTCTTCTCGAAAATTTATCATTTCGTGTTAAGGAAGTCTTCCAACCTCGTGTTCTGATAGAAATTTTTCTGAACAGCTCTCAATGCTTTCCCTGTTCTTGCCCTTTAATCCTCTTCTCTTAATTGTTAAAAATTTGATGTCACAGAAGGCATTTGTTTACAAGAATAAACAAGTTACTTGTACGTTTTTATAACCCATGTAAATTTCGCTACCTCTCAGGGGGAGGGGAGGGGGCTTAGTTGCCACTGCTTTTGATCAGTTTTCTGGATTTTTCCGATTGATAGCAAAGTCAATTACACTTAAGGATATCGCGACAAAGCCTACAATAAGCAATTTTTTTGACTGATAATGAAATGTAGAGAAGATTGTAGATCGTGAGTCTTGTTTTCGAAGTTTCTAATATTACAAGCGGGGCATTTGCAAGGCTAGGATATGGTTGAAGATTTTCCAGAATAACAATATCTTTTCTCTAACCTAAAGAGCACTCATACTGTGGATGCTCAAATGTTTTCAAGAAATAATTGACTATAATTTTCTTCCTCGTGATTGAGAGGTTCCATTTCGTTGCTTGCCTCCTTTTTGGCTTCACTGCCCACTAGGTGCAACATTTCGTCACCGTTCAGATCTGGTTCCCTTGGAATGAAACAAGCAATTCGGAGGCAAAGGCTTGCTGATTCATTGCCTTGATCAAGCTATTCAAAACTTTTGTAGCTAACTCATTAGCAAAGCAGTTCTCTTTGACAAGCTTTTTGGATTTTGCATGTGTGATTGTCGAAGAAAATAGAAATAAGTTAGGCTCTTGAGAAATCGTGTTTCTACTCGAACGTGAATATTTGATATCCTTCTTGTTTGAAATCAGCGAACTTCTTTCCACCTAGCTTAAAAGTTTTCAGCTCCTTTGGTTTTTAGGGGTAAAATATGACCCCTAATGACGCAAAACCCCGTGAACTTAAACGAATATTTTGTCATAAATAAATAATACACTAGCGGTCACTTGTTGGTACAATTTACTCCTAACTAAGCGCATTGCTGTAGTAGTTGTTCTAAATGATTTACTGTTGTCCTGAAGAAAGCTTCTCGCAAAAGATGCATTTTGAATCATGGACGGGGAAAATCTGCAGGGTAAAAAGGAAAGACTTCCTATTCTGCTTAAATCAGCTGCATTTGACAAACTTCAATTATTTGATAACTCTAGTGGTGTTGAAATCCTTTTTTTTTGTCTCTTCCTTTTTTTCAATTTCGAAAATGATAAGCCTTATATAATCGCTGCTCAACTTCCGGTATGACTTCTATCGCTAGCGTTGCAGTCTAAAACGCTCTCACTAATTATAAGACGACAGTGTATAAGTTTTTATAATTAAGAAAAACTATGACCAAATTTCATATTTTGTTCATCATACAATAATGAAAATTTTATTCAAGGTGTTTGAGCTGATCTTGCATTGAAACCTTTGATCCCTTTGGTAGTGTCTGCGGTTTAAAATATAATTAATCAAATAAAATTAGAATTAAAATATACTTTGATGTCCTAAGTCCTCCAAAAATATTTGTTCAACTGAGAAATTGCAAATGCGTCTGTTATTATAATACATAGTTTATTTTTATTCTCACAGTCAGTAAGTAGCTAGAGACAAACTTCTTTGTTGAAATTGAGCTGCTATTATATGAGTAAAGTACTTCAATAATTTTTCTTCAAATTGGGCTCTCGATCAAACGTTTTTGAGCATACATATCTGAGAAAAGCCCTTCGGGCAGCAGTGTAACTTGAAACTTTAAAAAATCTGTTCTAAAACTGATTATTTGCAAAGGATTATTTATTCTGACCGAGTAGTTCTTAACGCTAAAAATGAAAGATTTAGGATTTTTTACTGCAGTGCCTTCAAGAATTGAACAAAAAGGACTTTTGCAAAATTGTCATCCCTGATCTTTGCTCTATCATTTGTTCTCTCTCAAACTTGCAGCATCTGTCAGATGAGCATTCCAAAATCTTTGTCACTTTCAAATTGATAAAATTCCCAAAATTCCAAATCTTCCGATCACCCAGCTGACTGTCGCCGAATGCTCAGCTGTTTATTTTCGTTCGCAAATTTCTCGCCGTTTTGTTGGTTTTCCACTTGAATCGTGAGAATTGTCAGCAATCGCTGCCATCATATCGTCTTTTTCCATTTCGTTCACTTTCAGATGGATGTCGCTATTCCACCACCTAAGCACAAAGATTCAGAAACTCCTACGGGTTACGACATTCCACGGGATACTATCAGCAAAGAGTTTATCAAAAGGTGAGGTTATTTTTTTGAAAATGAGGTTATTTTTTTTTTGAAAATTACCGTCCCCCCCCCCCCCCAAAAAAAACAAATCTTTTTCAGTGCCAGGACAGCCAGACAATCTGTAGAGTCTAATGGTTCGTTCGGTGCCATGAGTGACTACCTCATCCCTTCAACCTCGTCAAAACTCGTACCCGACACGCCTCCTCGGATAGTCGTCACGTACGAGTCTTCCTCTCAGCACTATACAATCAGTAATCAACTCAATTTTCTAGGTCCCCAGATGACGAACCCCTGCCTTCACCTTTTGGCTTGAAAATGGACAAGGAAATCCTGTCACGAATGAATCACAATCGACATGGGACCGACACGCCTCCTCCAACTGACCACAGCTTTCTATTAGCCGTTGCTATGGCATGTGGAGTAGTTTTGATTGTAATCTTCTTAATATATCTATTTTTCAAAGTGTAATATGATTTTATTTGTAAATATGGTTGTAATCGGTATTGCAGGTGTACAGCATATGCATTATTTGATTTGTATAATCAATATATTGCCATTGATCTTTGTGCCAATGAAGCTAATGCTGTTTATAAACAATTTCTTTCTCCCTGAAAAAAAGGTTCTAATACTTCGGTCGCTTATTGATTTGTCTAGTATAATTCGACTAATTAAATCGGCTAGGAACTTCTTGCTGGTTTTTGAACGATTATGCACAATAAAAGATAGTGCGGAACTTCCGCGAAAGTTCTGCGGAAGCTCTCTTGTCCACGGAAGTCCTGCGGAAGCCCCGCTCTCTCAAGGTGCTGCACAACAATGGCATATTTTCTACCAAATTGAAATATCTTGCTTATATAGCACTTTCAAATGATTGACTTTCTTCAAAAGAAGTTCAATCTAATGTCAAATCAGAACAGAAGAAAAAAACGATTTATTGAAAAACGCAAAATGAGATCAGGCTGTTGAAAGACTTATGAGGCACAAAATAATAAAAATAATATTTTAAATACAAACGGGGTTTCAGTCAAGTTAATGGTCATCAAAGATAGAAAAAGGAATACGGAAATACTCTATATAAGATTGACAAAATAGCGGAACCTTTAAAGTTTTTGAAAATTCTCTCAAAATGACATGTACTTCTCACTAGACAACTACATACTTGACCATGACTCCAAAGATGTGATTCACCAAAGTTATAAAGTCATTATGATAAAAAATCATATTATTTTTTTACACCAAATGACATGAATTTAATCGTTACTAGATCAAGCTTAGAAAAAAATTGTATAAAAATGTACAGACATCACCTCAAAAAAGATCATATTACTCTTTTTTGAAGTGTATGAACACTGAAAAGATGGTCAAAGAACACTAATGTTAAGAAAAATGCCATTGTTACGAAGCTAAATGCTGTCAGCAGAATACGATCAATAACATTCGCCAGATATTCCCATTCCAAAGCACATCTGAACAGAAAAATGAGCTTTTGATAGCAGTTCTTTCTCCCCCCCCCCCCTAGAACCCCTCCAAGTATTTAGGGCAAACCTTCTGTTCATTTTGTGACGTTTCACGCTTCGTGCATGATGGCTGATTGGTTTTCGCACTATAGATGATTGACGCTCGCGCTCCCGAACTCGAAGCTGCAAAGGTAATTGTCGAAGCTTCCGCCTAGGCGAACTATGGAATTACATATTGGAATTGAGAAATTTTGAACAAAAATATTCTGTAATTCATGTTTGAAATTATCATATCTAGAAGAGTACTGATGCTTTCAGATACATTTATAGCAAGAGAATTCCGTGTCTTTTCTTAGGGAAAATGTATTTATCGAGTTTACCAAAGCTACTGAGGAGGACAGTTGTTTCTTTGATAAGATAGGTTTGCGAAATTGAACAACCACCTGAAAATATGATTTAGCAACACCGGGGCATCAACTATTCTTCTGCTCTACTTTCTTGAAAGCTACACAAAAATAGAAATTCATGCAAATTTGGTTTATGATCCTTCAACAGAAACAGCTTTAATAAGAGGATTTTTCTTAAGATTACATAGTCTGTCTACAAAGCTTGTCATTAAGCTAGAATAAGCAAAAAGTGAACAAATGAAAAAAAAACCGGCTATGCCAGTGAGTCATCAATTAATGCTTTCAACTATGTTACCTACCTGGCTTGTATATTGCCTAGTAAGAGTAGCCAGCCTTGTAGTGTAGGAGTACGATGAAGTGTTCGATAGACTTGACGAGATGGAGCCAAAGAATGCGCGCGGTAGAGGTGGTTGCAGCTGAAGTTTGTAAAGTTGGCTGTTTTATGTAGTGGAAAAGAGAAAATTTGAGAATTTCGCTGCTTAACTCGTGGACTTATGCCAATTTTGTCAAAAAAGTGAGGCAATAATGCAGTAAATCATGGTAAGCCAGGTAACAATATCATTAGGGTGTCCAATAATTTCTTACCGTTTTTTAGCATATGCTTGATACATAGAATATTCATTTGCACACTTTCCGTATTTTTTCCATGGCCAGAATAAAGTAAAAAAATGAATGGAGTAAAATGGCAAACTCCGCCCCCAGATGTCCTGAGCTCCTCCCACGCAAGAGATCATACAGATCATACATACAAAAATACAATCATGCATTTGTATCCTTTGTAGGTTCCACTTCTCGAGAAGTGCTTTTGGTTAGGGTGAATACGGTAAGAAACTGAGACACCCCATACCCGCTCAGAAACTTCAGGGAAAGAAAATCTATTAGCGTCGCAATGGAATGACCGTAATTTTCGCAAAGAAATGGGAATGTGAGGTGAGTAGATGCCAAAATTTTTCCGAATGCAAACTCTGAACAGTTGTCCGATGAGCTCTGAATTTTCTAGCGTACCAAGTTTGACAATTTCCTGATTTCCTCGAAATTACAAACTTAAAAACAAAAAATTTTTTTGAGCTGAGTGAATGATGTTCGAAACGTATGACTTAAATTACTTTTTAAACGAAAAAAAAATACGTGCACTTCGAGTACCCTGTATTTCAAAGAAGATCGCGAAAAATCTCGTTAAGGAAGAGCTCCTTTCTTTTTTTTTTACCAGCGCTGGCTTCAGAAATACATTTTGAATTAATAATTCATAGGATTCATTTTTGCGCAATCTAAGATTTTCTGTTTCATTTGCTAGTTAACTTGCTCGGGTATGACGAATGATAATCGTGATAAGATATGCGTCGGGTACATATTGCTACAAAAATGTAAAATATGCTCATCTCTCTTTTGGTTTTTCTTCTAACATCCGGTTTAAGTCGATTATTGGCACATTAACACATCACGGCAATACGAGCCACCGGTGGATCGTAAGTCTGACAAAACGAAAAAAGTTATGGTCCAAAACGGCAGTGATCGAAACACCTTCCTTGTCTTGACTGTGTTAAAGTGATTCAGCTGGTGGTAAAAATCCTTTCGTAAGTTTTACGGCACATTTCTTTTGTAAGATGTGCTGCAATTGATGCGCTTGAATGCTTGCTCGAAGCAGTGCATAATCTATTTTCGAATAACTGATTGAATAGATTCGCTGAATCACTTTACTGAATAAATTAAGCTAAATTACAAAGCAGAATTTTCCTTACCGAAGCAGGATCCATTTGCTGAACGACTATTGGATCGAGCTGCGCCATTGGCAGTCGCTCTTCCTCCATGATACCAAATTCATACCACAGCTCAATCAATGCCTCCGGTGGGCCAAGTATGTAGGTTTTTATGAAGTAGTTGCTCACTGACTGCCGTACCCACGGTGACAATGGGCGATTGTGGAGTTTTCGACCGTGAATCGCTGGAAAAATGTGATTTACAAGTGTTTCAAGGCCAATTTTTAGAACACTATGAAGAAGGAGTATTCACCTAGTACAATCGTTGCCAATAGTGTACCGAGGACGATCACTATTATGATGAGCATGTAGTACCAACCTAAAGGATGAGTATAGTGCTAGCTCAGAAGTTGAATTATTCTGAGGTTTTTGAATTGCTCATCTCTTCTTCGTTACTCGATTCTGCCCGCAGACACTTCACTCATTCTGCTCATACATCTATTTTTTTCAACCAGTTTTGTTGCTTTCCTTTTCATTCTGATTAATACACAAAATTCGGACTTGTGGTTGAGAAAACTTACTTGGCCAATTTTTTGATGACTAACCCTCATAATTGAACCAGCTAAAGCTAGTTTCTCTACCGTTTTTTTTTCAAAAATCAAAGATTACAAGATTTATAACATAGTACAGCGGTTTATAACATAGTACAGCTTATTTTGGCAGACGTGTGTAAATCATCATTGTATACTAGCAACCATTCTGTCCTTCGTCCATTCAAGCAATTCAAATAGTTGTACTCATTCATATCAATTATTTATTTTATGATCTACCTATTCTTGATTTCTAATTTTCTTGCATTACTTTTTATCTATTAACTCACTCATCAGTGGAACATAAGTAGATGTCGATGGCATTTGATTACATACCATTAGCATCATAATCGACATTGTAAGAAGTGTATTGATGCCAAGGTACCTATTATGTAGAAACTTTATACTGTTGATCCATCTGAGGTGCGCACAACACTTACAATTTTTCATCCCTTTCGCTGGAAGTTGACGTCGGCGTAAAAAAGCCTGTGATAGCGACGATTGTAATGATGGAAGTTGGAATAACCTAGAACATATAAGATTGGTGCAAATCAACAAAAACTCCAGTAATGCAGCTTACAAGATTTATCACATAGTAGAGCGGTTTTCTTCGAATAATCAAGTGAGCATAGAGCAAAACCCAGGGGTTAACACAGCATTTGAAATATTGCTAAAAAGGTCTTGGAGAGTAAAGCAAAACCAAGGCATTAGAATGTTACCTCAACTCGCTCAAATTCGAAGCTGAGCACTTCCCATTCATCGTTTCGGGCCATGTTTTTCAGATTAACAAGGGTTGATGTGGGCCAATAGTCAATGGATGCTTTGTCATGAGTCCAGCTTGAGATGATGAAAGTGCAGTTTTGTGAGTCGTAGGGGAACCATTGGACCTGAATAAATATTGATAAAACAACAAACATTCAAGCGTTCCAGGTTTTCCAACGGTTAGCACATCAAAAAAACTTTTAATTTTCTAAAACTGGAAACGGACCCAGTGAAAATTAAACTAAGTACTCCAAACTTGGATTCCCAACTCGAAGTGAAGAAAGTTAGCAGTTTTCAGAAATAAAAATTCTTTTCTGTGTCGAAAAGTTACTTACATTCATCGCGCATGAAAGCTTGTAAATAGCCGGAAACATCAGCTGAACCCTGGCACCTCGACTATCATTTGCCCAAAATCCAGTCTCAATAATGGCATGACTTATCGCTTCAGTCTTTTTACGCTCCAAAGTTTCGCTGAAATGCTGCCAAATGTCAAAAGAATATAAATGTGACAGTTTTAAGCAATACCTGTTGTAAAGATAAGTATCAGGAATCCATAGCTGGTCATAGGGCACAATAGTTTTGTTAAGCATTCCATACTCTCGTGGATCCCAATCAAGAAACTCGTCGTACCATTGCTAAATATTAGGATGAAGGGCACGAAACAATTTGCCATGAAATGCAAAAAGAAAATTCATGTTTTTAAGCGTCCCGCATGCAAAAGAATTTCGATTCCGATTTTTATTTCGACATCCCATAGGGTTTCATTTCGTTGGATTTTTTTCAAATTTTTCTTTATTCTTACTCAAGCACCAACACTCGTCGTTTAACAGTGAACTCTTTTTCATACTGACACCTCTTTCACACGAATGATGCTTTTTTAAACTTTGAGGTACTTACTGAGGATTGGTTTTTTTTTTACAAAAAAAATGGGGATTCCAAAAAATTTACCTGCACCATCCAGACATTGACCACGATGCTTTGAGAATGTTCATCCTATAATTAACGATACTCGATGCTGATTTTAAAAGGTAAGTAGCACTCACCACTTCCAATATCTGGTAAAGGCTCATACTCACATTGATTCGTGTTGGTTCCAGATGATTCTTCTGAATTTATTTTTCTTGCATTGAAAATGTCAAAAGACTTCTGTGGCACCTACCCTAGGATGCACATTCTTTTCGTAAAAATCAGGATCCAGCAGTTCTTCAACCAAACGTCGCTGCTCGTTGAGATAAGCTCCTGCGTCAAGGCTTTCAAAATATTTCCGTCGTTCCTGGTTCAGGTATTCCAGAAATGACCGGTTGAGCATCGTGGAGTTTTCTTCTTCTGAAAATGGATTTATCAACTATAACTGACCCTAACCTGTTATTCTCTTGATTTGATTCTCATTCATTCTCATAAGTTTTTCAAAACCCAATTTACTCTTCTGCATTCGCGTTTTAGATGTGATTCAATTTTTAAGTTAGATAGAGCTTTGTGACATTTATAAAAACCTCTACCTATGCTTCTCCTCAAAAGTATATGGTATTCTTCGACGACTTCGCTCAGCTCTGAACTATGTAGTCGATTTTGCTCAAACCAAGTCTCGTAATCATATGTTGATGATGTTAAGCTGCAAAGTCATGCCATTTTTGAGCTGTTTTCAGTTCATCGTAACTATTAAGTATGCGTCAATGCACCTGATTTGTTTGCCCACTTTCTCCAAACATTCCAGGACTGGCAGCGTTAGCAGAATGATTATCGCTATAGACATAAAATCTGCAAGAAAGCCACAGAGTGACATTAAGATAAGAAAGAAAAAGGGCAGAAGTCTCGCAAATGGATTTCTACATTGGAGGGCTCAGCACAGCAATCGTTAGAGGGATCAGCTAAACAAGCACTGAGAGGCTACGCCAGGTTCAAAACTAGTAAGTGGAAAAGGTTAGTACGTCCACAGTAATCAACTATAAATGTTTCACAACTTCGTTGCAGGATAAAATTACTCAGCACTGAAGGAGTTGTAGAAGAAAGGAAGGCAACGCTAAAAAAGAAGCACAATAAATGCACATTGATTGGTCCACTTGTGAGTCAAATCTTTCCGAGAATCAACATCAATCAGCATAACAAATGATCAGTTAATTTGCCAAAATAAGCGCAATATTAGGGATCAACGCATGGGGAATTTTTAACTCCAAATTTGAGCTGAGAAGTTGAACTTGTAAACGCAAGGATCTGAGGTAGACGCAAAAACCTTGGCACCCAGTCAAGTACACCTTACGGCAAATATTTTGAATTCTATTGAGCGTTACAAACGGATAACTGCAAGAATTGGAACAAAAATTCTGCAAAATGCGGAAATGAGCCTGCAGCGGGGTCCCTTATCATTATTTTAAAGGAAACAGAAATGCAACCAACACTTTTCTTTTCCAAATTCAAAGCAACTTGCAGTATCGAATAATGAACGTTAGCAGTGATTTCTGTGGATATATCTATAAAAATATCTGCTTATCTACACGAAATTCAATTTGCTAGAGCGATTCAACTACATATTTTCAAAAATACAAATAAAATTAGACGGGTGTTTTTGAGCTACTATGACATGGTAGATCCTGATGAGCTACATAACATATGTAGCTTGAGGACCTTCTCGGTATCCTCTATTTTCGCTTTGGAAAAAGTATGTAAATGATGGTTTTTGCGTTTGAAGAATTTTGTCTGCGGCATTATGAGGTAATAGATAATTATGGACTTTTTTCAATATTATACTCCCAAGAATTCTTGAAATCCGTGTTCTTCAAAATGGCACGCGAAATCATAGCTCTTGAGAATATTTAGCACAAAATGCGCTTAGATTACAGTCGAGTAGATTTCCTGCTTAATATAGTGTCCCTGCAGACGCGACAACGCTGAGGCGTCAATAAATGCCTTGCGAGTCCCCGAACTAGTGTTTTCCATTGTTTTCTTTGCTTATTTCATGCTTTTTAGTTGATTCGTTGCTGATAAAGAGAAAAAGGGTAAGTTAAAAGGGTATAAAGAGTAGTTTCTGTTTTCTGAGAAGTTCTGTCATCGCATATTCACAGATACCCACGTGGAAGCATTTCGCGTCAGCTTCTTGTCTATTTTTTTGTCATTTCCTTTTCTTCTGTCACTTCTTCTTTCAAACCTCCTCCTTCTTGTGAGGCGTTTCTTTGAACGCTAGTTGGCCTGTCTTGCAGCAACTTGCTCAAGCAGCTTCATCCACAAGAAATAGCATTTTAATCAAGTACTTCATGTGATAAAGACAATAAGTCAATTGTAAAAACCCACTAGCGTTTAAAGGCACCGTCCACCCAAAGTGAGGGTTCACGAGATTCAATGGCATGCTAATGTGGGCCCCCACACTAGGCCAACCCCCAAGTTTCCTCGCAAAAAATTGTTTCCGGAGCGAGAAATCCGCTCTGGAAGTTACGTGATACGTGATCCAGAGGTGGACTCCGCCCATTTTGCAGCTTTGGGGGCTGCGGCGTTGATATACGCCGGGCGATAACCGCGCCGCAGCCCTGCAAACTGCACTTCCACCCGTCCCGCTTTCTCCAAAATAGGGGTTTTTGGGATTCTCGACTTCATATTCGAAATCAGGGCCTTCAGAAGGCCCGGAAGCGACAAAAACATGGAAGTCGAGAATTTGGGTGGACGGTGCCTTTAAAGAAGTACCTCACAAGAAGAAAGAGACATGAAATGACAAAAAAATAGACAAGAAGCTGACGCGAAATGCTTCCACGTGGATATCTGTGAATATGCGATGACAGAACTTCTCAGAAAACAGAAACTACTCTCTAACTTACCCTTTTCTTCTTTATCAGCGACGAATCACCTAAAAAGCATAGAATAAGCAAAGAAAACACTGGAAAACACTAGTTCGGGGACTCGCAAGGCACTTATTGACGCCCCAGCGTTGTCGCGTCTGCAGGGACACTATATTAAGCAGGAAATCTACTCGACTGTATCTTATCACTTCTGTTTTCTCTTGAAATTGATCGGATGAAGGAAAGTCACTTTGTCTGCAGCATACGACGATCACTGTAGTTCATTTCAGAACTGGAAAGACTCTTGAAACTCACAAATTCTTCGTTCTTGCATAGTGAGTGAGTCTCAAATCAATACTAATAACTTGTTTTCATAAATCATTTTGCATTCGAAGCGTAGTATGAAAGTGAAGAAGGAGCTCCTAAATGCTCTAATTAGGGCCAGAAATAAAATCTTGTTTTTCTCCACCGCGTTTTGTCTAAACTGCTAGTAGGGAGAATGCAGACTGGATTTATGGAATGAACGGCATGGAACTGTGGGTAATCTATGTGACGCATCGATCTGGAAATTGTGAAATGAAAAGTGATAGATCTTTTTCATTTAGCGGTAAAGAAACACACCAAGAACCACGCTCAAAATTGGGTTTCTTGCCATTGATCGTTCGTGCGCAGGGATAATTAAAGGAAGTGATCACTGCTCCCTTATTTTCGTCATCCAAATCGTGCAGCAAGCAGAGAGAAAATGGAATAATCTGGGAAGAAAAAGGCTGCTCGGACAAAGGTGAAAATAATCATCTGGCTCTGGTTCTCATTGTGCTGCGACAGATTATCGATAAAACAAACAAAACATCTTGTAATGTTCTACAGCGGCCAAAAAACTGTGTATTCTCCTTTTTTGAATACATTGCCTTCTTTTTATGACTGCATTTTTTCTTATCAAGATACGAAATAAAAAAGATGCATTTAAAATGTCAAGAAATGTACCGTCAGTCTCAAGTTTCAAAGTTATAAGAAACTGTGCTATTGTACGGGGAGCTTCAAGGCTGAAATCTGAGCTGATTCGAAACCAAGCAATAAAAAAGAACTTTGGGAAACACTTTCATGGAAATTCTGCTAAAACTATTACAACATATTGAGTCAGGCGCTCAAAAAATGTAAGTTTGTGTTATAAACTTCGCTAGCTTAGACTAGAAATTGTGACATTGCAAAGATTTTGATGGCAAGAAAATTTAAAAATGAATTGATGGGCAAAAATAACGGATGAAAAAAGAAGAGTTGGAATTCTTTTCTCAGCTCAAGCACAACTGTATGAAAATCATACAAATACAGAAGTTTGCGGAAAGAGGATTATGTGGAGAACTATTGAGCGGCGTAGGACATGCGAATACGCCGCTTCCAGATGAGCAAGCGCGCAGCTCATCACCTAAATGCACACATGAATCCAACTGACTCCCGACACGACATCATACTGCATGCACAATTGCATAAACGGAAGTGCTAAAGAAATTTTGAGGTTCTGAAACCGTCACATGCTCTGGGTTGTTCAGCACATTAGTTATTCTTCATGAATGGCCGGCAAGGCGCAAAGCCTGTTTACGCCTATACCTGGAGCACCAGTTCAATCAGGTAAAAAGAATAGCTGTTTTTCAGTCAGGCTTTGAAAAAGAGAGAAAGGTAACGAGTGAGCGAGAAATGATCCATAAGTGGGAATGAATCAAAAACATAATATTATCCAAAATTTTAATGTTTCCACAGATCACATCTCTATTTTGAAAAACATATTATCATTTCTGAATCCAAGGCTTAAAAGGAAGGACCTTTCACCTTTAATTCGAACAGATGTAACCTGGCAGTAATGTCTGCCTTCAGATGTGATATTGGCCCAATAAGGGAAGACAAAAATAAAATATTGAACTACGAATTCGCATGCATTGTTTTGAAAAGCCAGAACAAAGAAGTCCTCTTGTTGTAAGCGAATAATGTATGTAAGTGAGAAGTAAAAATTTTGTTATGAGGAATTTTACGGATGGTACTCATAGGGAAGATGTTTGCCCGCTATATTTACCTTTTCGCAATAGCTATGCTTTCTGAGCTTTCAGATACACTTGCTTATGGTTTTCAGACTGCATATGAGTTTGCAAATCATCACTTATCATTTTTCAAGCACAGTTGATTAAGGTCAGTCATACCACTCAATTCCACTTTTTCACGTCAAAATTCTCAATAACATTCTTATTGCAACTATTTTCTACATGCTGACTGATTTCTGAAGAGATTCTCGAAATGAAATCTTTTTTATAAAACAAAAGAAAGGAATATATATAAACGATATAAATGTAAGTGGAACGCTGTTACTAGTCGACTTATACACAGTGACCACCCAATCGTATGATGCGCCGCATGTGGTTCAGTTGTTGGCCAAAATTTCCGGTGCTGCTGATGAAACAACATTAGAGTGTGCTAAACTAGACCTCACTATAAAGATTTTGTGATTTTAGAAGCAGCGTCCGAGCAAATTTTCGACTCCTTTTTTGAATCTTATTCA